GGTTTCTAACACAAACCATTTTATCATGACTTAGAATGTTCAACAGCCCATGTGAACACACGATATACCCTGAATGGCCTTGTTTTATTCATTTCATTATATCTTACATACATCCACCATGACCAATTACATCTAACATACATCTCTCACACCCGCACTCTCACAAAATACAATACAATACTTATATTTTAAGTTTGCATTATTTTAATTCATGTATTATAACAAGTGACGCAATACTCAAAAGCATACATATATACATACATAAACTGCGAAATACACAATAAATGTAACGTTCAAGAGAGTGAAAAAAATGTCAGAACTCTGTGGAAGTGACTGCTATGTTCATTTATATCATATCTCACTGTTGTTACACAGGCTGTATTTCGCTGAGCTCAGTCAAATAACATTGAATAAAAATGTGTTGAATTATTGTGGATTGAGGATTGTTTGTCAGTTATTTGGTTTATGTTCCTAAACTTGAAAATTCGATCTAATGAATATGTGTAAGGATAAGTGTATGCTGTTATTTTTACTTTATAGATAAAATAATTCATATTGAGGTACATGATTGGCACGAGCACACTCACTGGAAAAAGAACCTAATTTTAGTTTCACTGAACAATGTTGTTCATAACTTTCACTTATCGAGGTTGCATATATGATTGAATATATAACTTGAAATGTGCCATAAGTTTGGCATTGTGTAAATAACTGATCGCACCGTTTATGATTTGAAGGTTGTGAGAAACTACTTTGCATTTCAAGTGATTTATCACGAATGAGACACACTAAAACAATTAATCAAATAAATAATTAATGTGGTGCAATTCAAATTTCCACACAACTTGTGTTGGAATATTGAATATTGCTTGAAACATTTGATGTGATGTACCATGAATACGTGTTTGTAAAGAGCCAGATTTACTTTCAGTTGTTAACCTTTAATCGTTGTTTTGTTTGTTTTTTTCGCTATGCTATGCAAGGATCGTATTTTAAGTTATCGGTTTCTAAGGGTATTACGTTATAGTTTTAGACTCGGTTACCTAAATCAGAGAAAAGTTAAACACGCCTATAATTATAAAACAGTCTTGAGTGCGAAAATTTAGGGTTATAGCGATTCATAAAGGTACGTATGCCCTACTTGGGTATATTTCTACATCAATGTATAGTACGAGTACGCCACCATTGTTCGCGATAGCGTGAATGTGAAGCTAACACGAAATGCACTTGTTGCACTTTGTAGTTATATAAGGCGCGTATTCGTGATGGCATCTAGAGTACGTTTCTAAGATATTTTGGTAAGATAATTTACATATAACATTTTACAATAAAATGCGGCAGGGCCCGCACTTAGTTCACTCGTGGCAAGGGGAGGATAAAGTCGTGATAAAATTACGTAATATGCGATTCATGTGCGTGAATGTTGCTCATTGTCTGAAACAAACATCAAAGAGCGCCACCGACAATGCGGGCGAATACTGTGTGTTGTGCGTGCTGCATTGAATGGACCGTAAAACCATCCAAATACCACTTGTTGTCACGTCCGCTGTTCTCAATAATAATAATAGAATGATAGAATGATAAAACGACAAAATTCTTATTTTTATATCCACAGTGAAACATCTTAATGTTGCATTTTTTGACGCTATTGAAGTAGCGTATTTTAAGTTATCGGTTTCTAAATGTATTACGTTATAAGTTTTGACTCGGTTACCAAAATCACAGAACAGTTAAACAGACCTATGAATTAGTAAGCAATCTTGGGTTCATAAATGGGTTCATAAACGTTGCATCTTGACGAAAGCGCGGATTTCGTACGTCTGTCCTACTTGGGCATATTTTAATGACATTGTACAGTACGCCACCACTGTTCGCGATAACGCGAATCCGAAGCTAACACAAAATGCAATTGTTGCACTTCGTAATTAGATGCCTACTTATGAATGTAAATACCCAGAATTCATCCATTCTCCAATAAATCGTACTCCCGAGCATTATAAGGATATTTAACTAGAAAAAGGTTGGGAAATCACCAACTTAAATTTTGAAAAAATTGTTGTTGTAATTTAGTGTTTAATGGTCATTTTTACAGTATTATAACGCTTTTACCATAAGTACCTATGACAGATATTATGCCATATCAATAATTTTAGCTTGGTGACATAGGATGAAATAATTATATATTTTTAATGATGGAGTACTTATTGTTGTTCTGAATTATTTAAAAACTTTGGGTTTTAAAAAAACTGTCAAACAATGTAATTTTTCTTTAACATTGGGCTCTATTGAATTGTTCTAAAAATAACGATTTTAGAAAAATACCAGAAGTTTTTCAAAATACGTCACTGTAACCCACAAAAGAATGCTATTCCATGGTACCATTGGACAATTACTCCATGATTTTACATAATAAACCATTTTTTTTTCAAAAATTATGAGTAAGCTTCTACCTTAAATCAACTATTGAGGCGTATAATCGTGATGACATCTAGAGTGCGTTTCTAAGATGTTTTGGTAAGATAATTTACATGTAAAATGTCACTATAACGTGCGACAGGGTACGCAATTATTACACTCATGGCAAGGAAAAGGGGAAGTCGTGATACATTTACGTAAAATACGATTCATGTGCGTGAATTTTGCTCATTGTCTGAAACAAACATCAAAGGACGCCACCGACAATGCGGGCGAATACTGTGTGCTGTGCGTGCTGCATTGAATGGGACCGTAAAACCATCCGAATACCACGTGTTGTCACGTACGCGTTTATCAGCAAGAAAGGTGATAATGACCTTTTCACACATTTCATTTTTGGAGAACTCATCCGTTTGATAAAACGGATCTACAATGTAACTGATCTTCAAGGACAAAATAAGCCTTCTAAACCAGCAGCTAGTCTATACTGTTCACAGATCTAGCCTAATTCAGGTTATCTGCTTAAACCATGTTGTAAAGATAATCTCTCATGGCTCATCCACAATCTGAATAACGTATGGTATATATAATCAAAGTGTTTCTTATTACCTCAACCGGGACAAACGAACAATCACAATGTTTGTCACGACCGGGGGGCATAACTAGGTATTCAGCAATAGTATATTAGCTAAATTGTCACGTTGCTTTGTGTGATATTGTGACGCTCATCAACATGTCCCCTTTCTATTTCAGTATTTGCCTTCGAGTCATTGCATGACGTTAAGATCGCAAACACGTTGCAGAAATTGTGTTTGAACGCCGTGATGGGCGCCGATTTATAACTGAGTGCCCGAGTGTTTCGTTAGCTGATACAGTGTCTGACAAATGAACTGTCGACATGTCAGCAATGTATGGAAGAATACACGACCGGAAACCGCGTTAAACAACTTCCATTTCTTCATTATAAGGCACTTATATTTTATCGTGGATTCCAGAAAATATACACATTGCTAAATTTACTTGTTCAGTTATCGAGAATGTACTGTTTACAGGTGAAATATAAATGTATATTCTTTTGGCTATTATATACAAAGTAGTTACAAATTCAATTATAGTTACTAAGTAAGTATTATAATTATGACAAAATGAAGCGCCAGGATTGTCACACGGCGCGTCTATTTTTTTGGTGAAATGAACATTTTTTTTACGCGCGTTTTATACATCGCATAAGACCCATATGCAGGTAATAACTGTATTTTATCATATACATATGTTTCACGACATTAATTATAGCTCAATTAGAGCTTATTTTAGTCAGATCGCTGCTGTGACGTATACCTTCGCAACTTGAACAAGAATATGACGGCGAATGTGACGTGTACTGGGACCATGGCGACATACATACTAATACCGTATCGTCTTGTATTTAGTATTCAAACTGTATTTTAATTCTTAGGTTGAACCTTTTTTAAATTGATTCTAATAGAGTTGTTTTAACTTTAACTGTGACCAATTTCCGTGGTTGTTGAAGAAAACGTGCGTGGAATTAATAATCGTCAACATCATATATACCCAAATAAGTTGCTTTAATTGCGCTCCAATTAAGTCCAGTTAACACAGTCGCTTATATTCATGATAACAAAAATATGTACGTGTCATTTAAAATTGCAAATTCTTTATTCAATTATATTTTTTGTTGAGAATGTTGTAAACAATTGTCCCAGTACGATATATGTAGCGTCATAGACGATGATCGCCGTCACACTAAATTGGAACTAAAACGCGTGGGGTTGGTAGATGGCGAACTTCTTGAATTTCCTTCACGCGAATTTCCGGTATGGCTGTCAGCGTACAAACATGCCCGATGGCCTTGATTGAAGTTGTTTAAGTCATCTAAGTTGGTGCCCACGCAAACTGGATTTCTGTGTGCGAGGTTTTCAACGTTTGTAGACGCCCCTCCGCAAATAGAGGCAATGCACGGCACCATTTGGCGAAACTCTCGATAAAATATATCACTAAGGCGACCATAGAGAAACGGGTTGATGCACGCTGATATCATGGCAACGGAATGGCAGATGTGATAACTTAAATCAATCCAGTGACCGTCGAGAATAGAAAATTGGAAGTCTGATAAAAGAATCCAAACATTTAGGGGTAACCACGTAACGGCAAACACTACCACAACCGCCATTAACATTTTGTTCGTTTTGTATTTCTTGGACATTTCCGACTGTACTTGTTCAGTTGTAAGAACGCCAGGGACAACTCGATTTCTCAGTTTAACCCATACACGATAGTATGTTATCAGAATTACAATTATAGGCAATATATATTGAAAGGTGAAAATTAATGACGTGTAAATTTGTTTCTTCCGAGTGCTTGGCCAAGCTTCGCTGCATAATACCCTGTTTAAATGAAATTCAGGAATATTAACTTCTTCGTACAGGCGATATGCAATTAGAGGCGCCGATAGACTGAGCGATAACAGCCAGATCGAAACCATGATAGTGGTGCTCTGTTGTAAAGTAATGCGTTTCTTCAAAGGGTACAGAATGAGAACGTATCTGTCGATGGCAATTGCTGTCATCGTCAATGTCGACACCAGTACGGACACAGTCTGAAGCGGTAATACAGTGTAGCAGAGAAATTCACCGAATAGCCACGTATCTGATAGCGTGTAAACGAGTGTCAACGGCAAACAGAACAGACATACAGCGATGTCGCTGATGGATAAGTTACATATGAATACATACGTCGGTGTGTGTAGGTTTTTGTTCCGTTTCACGGCCATACATACCATAATATTGCCGAAGACACCAGTGACTATTATTCCTACGTACACCGAGATAAAGATCCCCCGAAACACCGGGTGAGAACTACTTTCCTGATACACCGCATCAAAATAGTCGAATATATACTGGTCGAAATCGATCCTCCAGGTGTAGTTGAATTCTGACATCGTCAAGTCTGGTAATTGTTCACCAACGCGTTGCTTTCACATTAGATACAGTCTAATATATGAGGCGACGTGCTATCGCATATCGAAAACATTCCCGCAATCCGTGGGCATCCTGCATGTGATTGGCAAACAAAAAGCAGGAATTCAAATATCTTCTTGTAACCTTGTCGAATGAATACATTAGGACTAAAAGCCGGTAGATTCCATTTAATGCAGGGTACATTAAATCCGCATATGTAAGGTGGGAGTAGGCTCGATATGATAGTATTTCGGTTTGGTTCTTAACATAGGTAATCTGTAAAATCGTATATTAATTTGCCTCACACTCACTAATCGCATAGAAACAAAGAGTTGAAGAATATATTCGATCATGTGCACTGCTTTGCATTAATCATTGCATCTCGCAAGTGCGCTTAAAGTAGTCGATAATGTTAAAAACACTTTTAGATTGCTCTAAATTTACTGTTAATGCGCGTAAGCTTGACATCAATGCCCCTGCCCTCTGAATCGATTGACCGGGAAGACTCACCAAAGATTGCAAATGTTAATGGAAGTGTTTTTATAAATCTTTGAACAGTTAAAAAAAATAAACCCATGTACAACATCAATGCGAATTGAAAGATCATTTTTTCTTTAATCCTAGCAGCTTCTAATTTACAAATACCCTGGGGTTTTTAGTCGGCATATCAAAAACAAGTATGCATTTACACTAAAACACGTACACGGAGTAGCAGTTATCAGAATAAAAACACATTCATCGACATACGATTTAATTAACCATAGGTATTCTAATAACCGGTTAACCAATATATGTTATCAGTAAACGACATGTGGTGACAGGTCTCTAGTGAGTAAATTCGTATTCAGACAAAAAAACCAGGAGTCCACAGTGTTGTTTGTTACAATGACTGGCAAAATATATGAAAATTTGAAAAATTATGTATATGTATATTTACAGCAAAACGTCGCTTCACCATATTGAAGCGTGTTATTACACACGATCTTCAAGGAGTCTCGGGTGAGAGTTTTTAACAGCATATTTATTATAATATAAATTGGGATAGGGATAAATTAAAAAGAAATTCTTTTTTCCTCTCACTTGTTTCATCTATCATTTTCTTTAGTGTCTAGTGAATGGCTAGCTTTGGATGTATTTTTTTACTACTGGCATTACTATATAAAATCAAACATTCCAAAGAATGCAAAATACAGCACATTGTTTGTAGATCGTGACAAATAACTGAATAGGTCCATCTTTGTTCAATGCTACAATTCCGAAGCATTTTCGTCTTTTTTTTAAATATTTTTAACATCATTCTCCGCTGTTAGTTTCAGTTGCGTGATAAATTATGTGTTGTATTGTAACATTTTGGTATTCATACCGATTATATTGTTAGTATTAAAAAACGGCTACATTCGGAGCATTCTTGTGTATGCTAATGACTGTCCAAAAAAATAAATAATCGAATCTGCCCCGATCTTATTAGTATACTTTTTAGATTTACAGATATATATCGGCTGGATCAAAATAAATTCAATACCGCTTTCTTGTAAATTCTTGACCATTACATTTATGAAAAAACTAGAAAATAATAAAGAACTCGATATGTATGCTCGTCCCTTCCTTGCATAATTAATATAATTTAATAATAATAATTTCAAAACATTATCAAATTCGCAATCGCCCTCTTCTCTTTCATGTTGAAATTTATAATTCTAATGATTTTTGCACAATAAATAGAAGAATGCGTATTATTATTATTATTATTATTATTATTATTATTATTATTATTTTTATTCAGCTTCGATACACAAACTCGACCAATACAGAAATGTCGTTGCTGTCTCACAAAGCACATATAGAAAGCGCTAGTTTCAGAGATTTTAGCTCATTTTCCATGCGTAAGCTGTATCTAAGTTAGTTGGGTAAGCTATAAACCATACAGTGTATTCACCGCAATACTCAGTGATATTTCCGTTAACTTACCTATTGTGCAATAATCTCATATTCGTAATCTTGGGCTTGGTGTCTGAAAGTGTTTTTCGTGATGTTCAGTCATTTCCTATTTTAGTTTATTTTTTTCCCGACAAGCTGAGAATGTGATAGCAGAATACCCCCCCCCCCCTGCTTCAAAGGATGGCGAATAAACGCAGATAAAAAACGACAGTGTTGTCTCTTATCAGCATTTAGTCATGGAAATTGTACTTCTTGTTAAATTACGAAAAAGCAAAGAATGTCGATTTCTGTACTTCTTGACCTCATTTCAACTTGATGAATACTACACCAATATATCGTGCGTCAACAGCGTGTTCATTCATTACCTTATCTTGTCTGAATATTACTTGCTTTTCAGCTTTCGATTAGCACTGATTAAAGTCAGTTACGTCATTCCGTCCGTAACGGTTGGTTTATTAAGATTACTGGTTATTCAAAACAGAAACAAGTGACAAAATAAGTTTTCCTTAACAACATCCAGTTCACTAAATACAGCACTAAAATATTTGCCGTTTTCTTTTATATTGAACTTAATAATCCACACTACAATATTTTATACATATTATTGACAGGCTGGGGCGGAAAATTATTGTCATTTTCTCATTATTGCCTAGGAATACAACTTGTATCGTCATGGTTGTAGTGGCAACGCTCGGCTCTGCACATTTGTAGAAAGGAAGCCATTACAGCGGGTTTTTTTTATCTGATCTGTGACGATTACTCTGTCGGTAGTCGGCTTTTCAGCCGTTAGAAATCAACTCACTTATACAAATGTCGGTTACGAACCAGCAATTTTTCCGGGCTACTTCACACATTTTACAAATTCACATCTCAGCGAAGTAGTATGTCGTCAATTTATGGTGATGGATAGCGACTTCTCTGGGAAGCTTTATTCGGGTCATGGGGACCTATACACATGTTGAGGCTTGAGTACCTGTAACTGCGTATAGCGTAACTGCGTATAAAGTAACTGCCTAGTTAGACTATCGAGTTCATTCAGCTGGCCTTTTACTGCAAAAGTTGTGTTTATGAAAAACAGGCTCTATATCTGGGTGTATTTAAGATGATTTCTGCTAGTAAGCAGACGTAGTAATTTTGATATTCCCATCTTCACCAGAAATATAGATAAATAGCTTCCATTTCTTGTTTTAGTGTTGTTATATTAACACTAGCTCAACTTCACTCACGTTTTAAACTTGTGTTGTTCTCAATTACAATGTTTAGACAACCATAATATCCCACTTATCAACTGTCGTCTCGCTTTTTGCAAAATGTTTGGTCTGATGCTTTATGTGCAGAATCGTTCGCTCGCTCACGGACCTTCGGCGTTTTGTTAAGTATCAATCCTACATACAGGTTTGTTATTTGGTCTTACACAAGGCGCACTTTCAAACCAGCACAAGAACACGCGCACGCACATACTTATTTGTTTTGAGTCGCCGATAAATTAACGTTGAGAAATGAAATCATCGACTTAAAGCTGCAGCCACCACCATGCAATGATCTGCGTCGCGTTACTGTTCAGCAAGGCATACTCTGTAAATCTTTCATGTTTTTCATTAAAACACGCCGTTTTACTTGAAAGCACACTGTTGTAATTAAAAACATGTGCATTATATAATAATTATTCATAGCATATTTATGGACTGGTGCACCCAACTTTATGCAAGCAGTATTGACAAAATTGAGGGAAAAGTCTGTGGACTCGTGAGTAAGCATAATGATATATATGCCAACTAGACAATCACCGAAGGTGACGTAATTCAACGCATGATGAGATGAGTCATGGCATTACCTTCAGGAAACAATTTTATGTCAAACAACAGTTTGTGGAAGAATTAATTGTATGTACGCTAAAATGGTCTTACGAGCCAATATTACCGAGACACGTGGTGAATTAAGTACCTCGTTGACTAACGGATTGTGATACTCCGCATTTGGTGAACGGTAGTTGTAGTTCCAATCACATCTAAGCACTTTCAAATGTGATTTTAACATTTTCTCTACACATTTTTTGAAACACTTCAGAAAAGCAAAATCACAAACGATGTTTCAACACAAAAAACTAGACTGTAATTTTGTCGCAAAGTGCTCATGCATAAGACACATGAGAGTAACTGAAACGCTATTCTTCTAAATTGTTTTAACTTTAAGCACTTCCTAAAACAAACACACAGGCAATGTGACGTATGATTTAGGAAATGTTCCAATGTACCACACCCGACACACCCATATATCTTTCATAAGTGTTTATGTATACGACATGTACACAAGTTCATAAGGGTAATTAAAACACTTTTCTTCCAAATTGTTTTATTTTGAACAAATACACATGCAATGACTCAACCTAAAACACCCGATTATATAAGTGCTCGTGTACAGGATATTTGTGTATGCTGTCTACGGTATGCATCTATAATAGACACAATACTTATATTCGACTGTATGCAGCATATTTATTGGGGGGAAAAAGCTCACACACGTCACCATTGTCAGCATACATACTGTGCATGTAGCGATAAACTTATTGATTTTAGTATTTTCAATAATAAACCGCTTTATACATTCACAAGTTTTGCGAGTATGCATACCATGTACCTGTCACAAGCTTAATAACCGATGGAATTAAATATGCAAGGTTTTGTTATCAATGCTCGAATTAATAAGTTGGAAGATGCAGCGCCACACAGGCGTTAATTCTCTGTGATATAATCATTGATTAATTTTCTTTATAGCTATTATTCTATTGGTGGAGCCTCAGTGTTGAATTCCAATATTTGTTCAACTACTGTATTCGATACAACACTATCTCATAGGAAGAGATTGGGCACTTTCATTTATGTCAGTGAGAAAAGGGATTAAAGATGTTTTTGTTAATTTCAGTTCATTACTCATCTGTTATGGAGTGTCAATGTTCACAAATAATGGGCATTCTTCCGTCTCGGAAGACGATGGGTTTGCGCCCAGTGAGTCATTCGCTCAGTATTGTTGAGAG